GTGTGTATTTACGGCTCCATGGGACACAAGGAGAAAAACACACGTAACGTTACGGACGCAATCCTTAGTAACTTTTGCGGACTTCCGGTGCGGATTACGGATTACGGGTTCTATGTGACGCCGGCCTTAGTCCGTGGGACTGCTAGTCCCGAAATTTTGCTGTAAGTAACATTGGAACAGCGCCACCATAGCCATTACCCAAGAACTAAAGCGAACATAGCCTAAATCTCACAGTGTCTCTTAGCAAAATTCAGCAAAACTGTGTTGCGTTGACGAGTGTTTTTGACAAGTTTTTCGGCGTCGTACAAACGATTGTTGCATCGCAATGAGGTAAAATCTTCAGCGCAAGCAAACTGCATACCAATTGACAATACCAGTATTTTAACGGTCTCATCCAGTAAAAAAATTTCACTTCCATGCGATGACGATACTATATTATAAATGCTGATGAAAACACCTATAACGAAATAGACGAAAAATTAATAGATTTTGCAGACGTGCCTTTAGAATTGATAGATTCGAATCTAAATCATGCAGCTCTTTATATAGCAGGTTTTGTTGAAATAAAGATCTTAAAAGTATTAAAATGCGATATTTGTTTTAGACTGTTAAATGAATGTGATGAAGTACATTCAGATTTCATTCAGCGGAAAAGTTTCGGATTTCTACGTTATCCAAGACAAGATTCATACGTACTGACTATTTGGATAGAAAAGGTTTTTAATCTTTATAGAATAAAAGATAATTTAAAATCTAAAAACGCATTCCAAAAAATGATGGCAGATGTCTTGCGTAATTTAATAATCAATAACCTTTTTACTAATTTTGATTCACACGTTCGAGATTTAGATTTTCTAGAGAATCACAAATACCAACTAATTAAATTATTAATAAAATTATATTTACATGTAAAACTTTCATATGCAGGAAAGAACATTACTTGTGAGGCGCATGATACTTTCGTTAGACATATAAATAAAAAAATGACTCTTTGGAAAGGACAATAGTTTAACATATGTTACATATTTTTATACATTTTATATATTTTTATATATTATTTAGTGTTAAATATATCTTTAAAATATAAAATACGTTGCTGCATATGTAAAAGATGACTACATTTTTTAACTTCGATTTACTCTCTTTTATTCAGTATTATATTCAAAAAATCGATTTAAATTCGGAATATATATTCAATTTAAATTATTTTTCGGATTACTTAAAATCATTTCAGCTGTTTTACTGGCTTTATTGCTGGAAGAAACGAAACGCAGCACCAGTAAATTTCACTGCTGCCAACTGAACACTCTGTCTCTGAACTATTTTTACTGGCAGTAACCAAACCTATTTTCGAACACACTATTTGTATAGAGTTCATTAAATTTATGTAAATATTTAAAATATAATACAAAAAAAATTTTATTCAACTTCTTTTATTTAATAAAAATTGCCAAAAAGTTTTTTTATTTCTTTGTGGTCAAAGTGGTCTCTTCCTGTAAAATTCAATTCAAAAAGACCATACTCTGTAGCAGCATATATATGAGCGTTATCAAATTCTAAAGCATATATCTCTCTGTCAAGTCTTTGTTCCACAGTATACGTCTAAAAATTTTTAAGATAGTTAATAATAATTCACTAATAAAATACAAAGTACAAAAAATTTGAAAATAAAATACAAACTTGAACGGCAACACTCTGTCTCTGATCCCATAGGACACAAATATCATGTCCCGTCATAAAAGTGTACCGATTATCTGATGACAAACACGATGATGCGCAATATTTTGAAGAATCCCATGTACGTACAAATTCGGATGTTCTGAAATCACAGTGGCGAATATAAATAAATTAAATGGCTAATTAATATTAACATAAGATTTATTACCTTATATCCATTTTTTTAATAGAATTTCTAAAACACATGAGAATAGTGTGAGGATCCTCCCATAGTAGACACTCACAAGTCAGTGTACCATATTGTGCATCACATTGTTTATCGATTATCTGATAACTAAAATTACTTTACGTTAGTTTGTTGTGTGTTATTCCAAATATACATAGATAATATCATAATAATAATAATATTTTTCATAGTTTTTTAACAGAAATAATTTTATTTCAGACTATTTTGGCGCAAAAAAAATGAACTCAGAATACAGACTCAAAATAAAACTAAAAATAAACTTGCTCTCTACAGCTACCCAGATAACAAAATGCCCGCACAGTGCTATCATGGTGCGCGCACGTCGTGCGGATAATCCGCACGACGTGCGCGCATATGACCAGACAGATGCGTCCTAATATGAGACTCATATGTGTGGCACGTGTGACCTCACGCGTGCGGGTCATATGAGTCTCAAATGCGGATTAGAGATGCATCGAATTTGAGACTCATATCGCTCGCACGCGTGAGTGCCGCACGCGTGCAGGCGATATAAATTAAATATTAAATGTGATTTTATATATATATATATTAATTTGTAAATAATGAATTAAGATTTAACAGTTAAAGATTATTGTAAAATTTGTTGATGTAATGTAATTTTAAATTAATTTTATTATATATATATATATATATATATATATATATATTATATATATATATATATAT